TGTTTGCTTTTTCTCTTCTTTCTACATCTCCAGCACCTTTCTAAGAATTCTTGCCGACCCCAACAATGCACATCTCTGGATCAGTCCAACAGGAATGCCAACCTCTATGGCTCTCAGATTGTCCTTCAATCTCAGTGGTATTATTATTATTATTATTATTATTATTATTATTATTATTATTATTATTATTATTATTATTGAACTCAAGTGTGCGTTGCGCAAAGTGCAAACCTTGAGCAGTGGATGAACGGATAACATTTTCATGAAATTCGCTCTGAGGTGAAGTTGTGGCAAGGCCATAAATGTACCGAGACGAATTTTCTTCGAATCTTCGTGGTTACACACAGTTTAGTGCATCAGGTTACTTATTTTTGTCAAGAGAAGATCAAGGTAAGCACTTTGTGTTTTTTCTCGTTCTTGTATTTTTCGCTCAGGGTGAAGGACGTCGATCCGGGGTTAAAAGGTTAGTTCTCTTTATGTATTTAAATTTCAGTACTAATGGTTTTTCCCTTCATGAAAGTTCGTTGTGTTTGCAAGGTGAAAGATTTTTTTTTTCCAGACAATTGTCTAATATATCTGGTAAACCGTACGGTGACGACCTTTTCTGTCAATAAATCTGGTTGTTTGGATGCAGTGGGGTCATATTTCAATGTGTCTGTTTTCTCTGTCAGAATTTCTCTCGAGTTTGACATCGTGTTAACCTTCTTGAATTTTGCGAATTTATACCTGGATCTGCGAGATCTTGGCGAGATTCTTGACAAGTTGAAGGCCGCCGAGATTTTGATATCACGTCGGGTTAGATGTCGGCGGCCAAAAACTCACCAAGAATCTCGGCCAAATCTCGTCTAGATTCCTTGAAATCTCGCCGAATTTTTTAACAGTTCTGATCTTTTAAATAATGACTATCGTTTCGCCCTCCCAGGCATTTAATTATCCAATTATGCTGTTTGTAACTAATTCTGCGAAACGTCGAAAAAAAAAAAAAGGTCAAAATGTCGCCACTTTCCAAATAGCTGATGATGAACGATAGCTCAGCCAATCAAATTGAACGGTTTGTATTAGTGTGCAAGTAGAATTATACTAACACTCGATAGATACATGAAAAATGTTTTCTTTTTCTTAAATGTTAGTTTTCCGCCGAATTTATCATCATCTTACACACAAATATACCAGCTGCGCGTACCCGATGAGGACAAGACTACCCGGGCGGGGGTGGAGGGGGCGGGGGGCGGAAGACTCACATATCATAGTAAAAGGGTGGGCATGCGCACCTGAAACTTGAACTAAATCCCTACACGAGACCAATCTGGGCGTTTCCGAATTTGAATCCCAAAACCTTACCAACGGCGGTCAGACTGAGTCTCACAGAGCCTAGCAGGTGGGATTCTCAACGTGTTTCATTACGATATTTTCTTTCAAGTCATTTGCTTTGACACTCTAGATGAAAAAAGGTAAAGAAGAGTCTTCCTCAGAACAACAACATTTTTCTTTCTCTCTCTTTTATGTTCAAGTGTTTTTCATCTGTTCCAGATGAATTTATTTAAACTGACGTTTACACTTATTTTACAAAAGAAGTTAATCAATTTCAACACAAGCGCAGCAAATAAAGCATTCGCTTACATGAAAAACAAGAACGAAGGCTTAGCACCGAACATTTAATAAACACTGTTGGAAATTTTAATACCTAGAGCGGTCGGAAAGCTGTCTCTTGTTTGTCACAAGCTTGTCACAAGCTTGTCACAAGCTACTTTTACATGTACTACGATTATCAGTTTAGTAAGGCACGACAAAAGTTTGGTGACGAAGTTTTGGCCTTAAAATTCCGGTGTTGTCACGGGCAACTTACCTCGTTTCCATTGGTAACAATATCAACACCCGTGCGTCGCCTGTCGCCTCGCCAACAATTTCGCGCGCTTCGCTGTTAATGACGTCAGTCAAAGGCCAACAAGATGCCACTGGAAACGGAGCCAATTGCCCGTCACAACAACACGATTTTCACGTTAAAACATGGTGTCCATCCTTACTTAAGTGATAATCGTAGTGATGTATCTCGCTGCTCACTTTACTTTTACTCAGCACCCACGCCATTAAACTTAGGAGTTCGGACATTTGGTTTGATAACTTATCCACTGATTTCTGTTAAGACATTTGTCAAAGTGGTTCCTTAAGCATGTTAAGCTGGTTTCCTAATTTATACCTAGCATAAAATTTTGATGAACTGCTAAATCAGTTTTTGTTATGTATACACTGCGCAATTGAAAGAAATGACCAAAATTCGCACTTTTATGTCAGATACATGTACATCGCCTGCTAATACGTTGCATCCGATAATTTAAGGATCCGATAAATTTTTTTTAAAATGTTTATTAAAACCAGCAATTAGAATTTGTTTGCTCTGTAGCAAATTTTATGAGTTTAAACGTCGCTAGTCCTTCAACAAAACTTTTGTTACAAAATATTACAATTGCAAAATAGTTGAGGCGAGAAAACTAACCGTTTTAACCACTAGCAAGCTGGTGGATGTTTAGATTGTAATTACTTGCATTTATAATATTAACTTGTCGCATTTCCATAGCTTTTTCTACCCGATTTCTCCTGTAAAATATTTGTTACTAAGTCTGCGTTTCCAACATATCTTTCGCAGCAAAGCAAACTCTTAAAAGCGCGTCGAAAACTTCGGTTCATCAGGCCGTAGATTAAGGAATTCATAGCACTGTTTAACATGGCCAACCAAGTGGTCAATACGTAAAAAGAGTCACTGAAATTACACTTCGGGTCCAGAAGGCAAAATACACCGATCGAATGGGGAAACCAACAAATGAAAAAGGTTCCGACCACAAGGGCTATCATGACCGTAGCCTTGTGTTCCTTCGCTGTCTTTTTGGCGCTATTTAGACCGTTTTTTGCTGACCTTTTTGAACCGGACTCCGCTGTTGTAATCTCCCCAACCTTAATGACCTCGATTCGTCTTCGTTGCTTTATGGCTGTTTGTAGAATAACACAATACAAAAAAACTGTCACAAGAAAAGGCACGTACAGAAACACAATCGCGAAGACCAGTGTGTAAGCGATATTACGACCCCAGTCCACTGTGCAGATCGACTCGAATTTTAAGAAGGTGAATTTGGCGAATATGAACGTAGAAGAAGCGCACAGAGCCGCTTGCAGCCAAATGTAACCAATGACAAATTTCACACGTTTTGGCGTGATCAGAGTTTCGTATTTCAGCGGATACACAATCGCTATAAATCTCTCCAAACTTACAAAGGTCAGAGTCATGATAGAAGCCTCGCAGAATACAGAGTTTAAAACACCCACGATTTGGCACATGGCTTTTCCAAAGATCCACTCGTATTTTATGGAGGAAACCAACGTGAACGGCATGGCGAAGACGGCGAGAAACAAATCTGCGATGGCCAGGTTCAGCACAAATGCGTTCGTTTTAGTATGAAGACAGGTGAAACGGTACAGAGAAGCCAGAATTAATGTGTTCCCGATCACGGCTGCGAATATTATCATGCCCAAAGCAGAAGCTTCAAAACATATTGTTAATAAAGAACGCGGGTCTCCTTCTGTTGCCATTGTTGAATTTTTTCCCTGCGAGATGTTCATTTTTTTTTTTCTTTTTTTTGCGTAACCGAGGTCAAAAATTCAAGTATTTCCAATCTCACTGGTAAATAAGTTCAGGTTACGGGACAAATATGGTAAGAAAAGGCTATTGCATTACGCCAGAGCGATCAACCCATTTGCTTTCTCGTGTTTCGTAAGATGTGAATATGTTAAACGTAATAGTAAATTAATATTTAATTTTGGGGACTTCAATAAATTGAAGCCCGGACGGAAATCAGACGTGTTCTGAATAAAATGAATCAATTTTTGCCAAGATACATTTTATTTTTTTGTTTTTCGCCGCACTACTTTTGCCCAGTAAAATTACTTGTCGAAAAACACTGATCATGTTTTCAGGCCGTTGCACTCTCTTGACAAAGAACCTTATTGAGATGAATATCTGACATCGTTAGTCCCGAAGTGTTAAATCATGCTTAAACAGAGGAAATTTTGACCCATGGTGTAATTGCATACAATTATGTTGTTTTCAACGAATAACCGTTTCTTTTTCGTTGAGTTTTGTAACAGCCTTACGTGAACAATTATTTACTTTTCTCCATGGCAGGAAAAAATGAAGTCCTCTCGCAATGCTAAATTCCGCTTCTGAAATTAATTATCCGTTCTTAAATCGCTCTATTTGCTCTCAATAATACAGTCAGCTATAGCCCTCTTTGGCAAATGCAACATATAAAATTTGCATAATCTCGAAATTATCTTTCCTAACTTATTGGAAGGTCTAAAATCTCAGTTCAGTATTAAACTAGCCGAGCTTTGACGCGCGATGTTCGAACGCCGCCCTCAGTTTTGTAACCGTTTAAATCGTATGGAATTCTCGCTGGAAGATGTTAATGAATTTTAATACCCTTTCTTAGAAACGACAGTTCTGTTTTGAAAACCACTATGAAATAAGACTACTACTGCTGCAGTTAGCCTGGAAAACAGGGCTTTATTGATGGACAAAATTTTGTTTTGATGCCAAAGTTTAAACGCAACTGAGCAAATTTTTCCTCTTTTCAGACCCTTAAAATTTGAATTCACGTCGTTGGCAGAAATTGCTTTGCTGTGTAAATAAGGCATTGAGATCGAAAATTTTGTTTGGCAAAGATTGCCCAACGTTTTTGATCAAACATACTCATTTAATTTCGATGTTTGGCAAATCAATATTATTGCTTTTACAGAAAAGAAAAAAAATCGCTCTACAAAGCCAGGCGATACTGTAGCGGTCGAAAAAGATTTGCTATGAATTCGTCAAAGCAGCTTTTTTGTCTAGCTTTAAGGAAGTAATCAATTACCTTCGCAAAAATGATACAAATAATATTTAGCAGTGGATTGCAGCTGGTTATACACCTCTTGTCAAAAATTTGCATTTTGACTTTCGCGGGCGTCGTATTTTGAATCAATCACAAAGCCTTACACACAACCAATGCATTCCAAGGTAATACAAGAACAAATGTGAAATTTTGCTAGCTGCGTTGTGCGAATTGGCAAGAGAGAGAGAGAGAGAGAGAGAGAGAGAGAGAGAGCCGACTGTACATATGTATTTCACGGGGTTTTGTCAGTATTTCACAAGTCCCGCATGCGCAAAAGCATGGAGAAAACACAGCAAATGAGTAAAGTAGTAATTGCCTGTGCAATCAAATAAAGGATTAATCTTGTGTATCATTTCTCTACATTTTTGTTATTTTAGCTCTGCAGTGGCATACATGTAATAGGCTTCTTCTGTTCTCTTTCACATATATGGTCAAAAGAAGAGGTCATAATGGAATAACGCAAATAAATATATGCTATCAGGAGCCATAATCGGGGACGGAGACCGTAAGTCTTGGGATCCGCGCGCACCTATGATATGGGACAATTTTTCTATTTTTAGAACAAATTGTGC